TCGGCAAAGGAGGACTGACCCGAGATCACAATGTGGCGTTTGCCTCTCCCATCTTCCCCCTGCTTTGTCTGCCTGCCTTTATCCTCTGGTGTCCCCCCGGCCCAGGTGGACGTTTCCTGGCCCCGTCTCAGTTTGGGGGCCTGAAGACCAAGGCTGCTGCCTGCAGCGTCTGCTCAGGGCCGCTGGGCGCTCTGCTGGGGAGGCTGGGTGTTGCGGGTGTCCGTGGCTGCCCAGGGAGCGGGAGAGCTAAGCCGAGGATCTCCCTCCTTCCGCTGGTTTGCCAGTTTTCCATGCTGGGATGTCCTGACGCCTGTGCTGCCCTGGGCATGGCCGCAGGGGGAGAGGCTGCCTTGTGGGGCGGTGGGGGGGGGTGTGTCTCCGGTCAGAATTTGGTGCATCACAAAAATTGTGGGTATCCAGTAAGACCAAAGAAGAGCTTCTTTTTGATTCTATACCACTATAAGCAGAGGAGCCAGGCTTCCGTCAAGCTTGGTTACCTCCCGAGTGTTCCGAGTTCCCCCTCAGCTCACCTCCTGTGTGTTCTCCGTGGTGGTGGCCCCTGGGCCTTTTCAGTGGCCTCCCTTGCGCTGCCCCCAGTCAGCCGGTTACCCTGCAGGACGTCACTGGGGAGGAGGGGGGGGAGGTATGTGTGGATTTCCTGCATTGTGCAGGAGGCTGGACTAGATGACCCTCGAGGTCCCTTCCAACTCTCGGGTTCTCTGAAGGAAGCCCTCAAAGGCTGGCATAGGAAACTGGCACCTCAGAGTCTGCTGTCTGCGCAGGCCGCCTGTCCTCCCCGTCCCCCGGCTCATCCGTGACTTGCCTGGGTCTGGCCCAGCTCTCCGTGGCTAGAGGCTGCTCGATTGAAGGCAAGAGCTTCAGATACTGGGCGGAAGGAGCATCCTTGGGTGGCTTGAAAAGCGGCGTTTGCTGGAGAGGACCCCCCCCCCCGGGGCCCGATCTCTCGGGTGGCTGGTTTGGCCCTGTTCTTTGTGCCCCAAGTGGAGAAGGCGGCACTCGGTTGGTCGGTGGCCCCTGCGAGAGCGCAGCTGGTCAACGGGGGAGGCCTTCTGCTCCTGTGTCCAGGGTGTCTTGACGGGGGTGCGTGGGCCCCCAGGGATCTCCCGCTGACAGCACAGAGCAGGAGGGAGAGGGCCTGCGTCCAGGCTCAGGAGGGGAGCCAAGCTGCCGGATGTGCCCGGGGGCTGGGTCGCTACGTGCCCCTGCCTCAGACCCAGACAGCCCGCAGGAGCCGCATCGGTCTCCGGCTCAGCTACAGAAGGTTGCTCACCAGCCGGCCCAGTTGGATCTGGCCAAAGAATAGTTGGCTTGACTGTTCTCGATTTATGCACTTCAGTTATACCCCGCCTGACTTCCTCCCCAGTGGGGACCCAAAGCGATCTACATCACTCTCCTACGTTTAATGCTCACAACAACCCTGTCAGGTGGGTGAGGCTGAGAGAGTGTGGCTGGCCCAAGGTCACCCAGCAAGCTTCCATGCCACGAGTGGGGATTCAGACCTGGGTTTCCCCAGTGCCTAGTCTGACGTTCTAACCACTGAACCACGCTTGGTCATCCGTTCTTCTTCCAAGGAGCTTGGGGGCTCCTTCCTCCAACCAATCAGTGTGGTGCACTGCTCAGAGTGTCGGTGTGAGCAGGGAGGCCCCAGGCTCAGAGAAACCCCACTTTGCCCTGGAAGCTTCCCCAGGGATGCTGGGCCCACCTCCCACATGCACTCGGCCTCACAGGGCTGTTTGGAAGACAAAACGAGGAGAAGAGGAGGCTGATGTAAGCTGCTTGGGCTTCCCACGGGGTGGGGTGGGTGGGGGGACCAAGGCAGGGTATAAATGAAGTCAGTAATAAGCCTCATGCTAACTCTGCGGCAGGTGAGACTGAGAGGCCCTGACTGGCCCAAAACTGGCCAGCTCATTTCGTAGCTGAGGGCCATTTGGACCCCACTCTTTGTCTCCCCGACTAAGCACCGCACCATAAGAACATAGGAGAAGCCCATGTCGGATCAGGCCAATGGCCCATCCTGCCCAACACTATGTGTCACACAGTGGCCAAAAACACCAGGCGCCACCAGGAGGTCCAGCAGTGGGGCCAGGACACCAGAGGCCCCTCCCACTGTTGCCCCCCCAGCACCAAGAATACTGAGCATCGCTTGCCCCAGACCGAGAGCTCCCATCTATACCTTGTGGTGAATAGCCACTGATGGACCTCTGCTCCATATGCTGATCCAGTTCCATCTTATAAGAACATAAGAGAAGCCAGTGTTGGATCAGGCCAATGGCCCAGCCAGTCCAACACTCTGTGTCATACAGTGGCCAAAAATACCAGTGCCATCAGGAGGTCCAGCAGTGGGGCCAGGACACCAGAAGCCCTCCCACTTCCCCCCCCCCACAGGCACCAAGAAGACAGAGCATCCCTTGCCCCAGACTGAGAGTTCCTATCTATACCTTGTGGCTCATAGGGGCCACCGATGGACCTCTGCTCCAGATGCTTATCCAGTTCCCTCTTGAAGCTATCCATGCTTGTAGCCGCCGCCGCCACCTCCTCCTGTGGCAGTGAATTCCATGTCCACACCCACAGTCAGCAGCCACCCTCCAGGCACCCTCCAGCAATGCTCCCTCTAAGCTGTGGAGTCTTGTGAGCAAAAATTCTACTTTGTGTGCTACTGGCATTAAAGCTACAAGTGAGCAATTTGGCTGCTGCATAGGTTAGTTTGCTCTGGAGCCGTCCTTCCTGAGCCAAGACAAAAATGTGTGAGCCGGAGGCCAAAAAGCTCACACTGGCTCAGCCTAGAGGGAACACTGCTTAGGCGGTACACTGCATCTCGATATGGAGGCTCCCTCCTGATGAGCAGCCCCTGGTAGACCTTTCTGACTCGGGGAATTTCTCAAAGCCCTTTTAAAGCCCTGTAAACTGAGGGTCGTTGCTGCATCTCATGGCAGAAAATCCCACAGATTTCGTGTGTGTTGGAGGACTTTTCTCCTGGCGCTGGATCTGTAATTCTTCATCAGTTCTGCTGGGTGGCCGCTGCGAGAGTGTGGCCCAGGGCAATGGCGCCGGGTTATGGAAGGGAAGAGAGGATTCTCCCCGCCACTTCCGAGTGCCCTTTGGCATTTGGTTCTCTGGCTCCGTGGGTCATGCCTTAGGCCTTTGCCTCCTCCTGGAAGCCGGGTGGCCTCGCAGTAGCCTGGAGCTGTGGGTGTGGTCAGCCCAGAACAGAAGCTCCTGGTGGCGCTGTAGTGCGCGGTGCTGGGACTGTCCTGGCGTTCTCTGGGCTCCGTTCTTTCCTGGAAGTCTTCCACGTCTTCTTGCTCAGAAGCCTGAGCCTCAGAGTTGCATTGTGCTTTTCCCCATAGTTGGGGGGGGGGGCAAGCTGAGGATGGAGGGGAGAGCGTTCTGCATATGTTCAGAAGCACTCTTTCTCCATGTTCTGGGACATTCCTTGCATAAGACTTCTTGGGTCTTGTCATTGGCACTTCTGGGGGAGAGAAGAGCGGAGTGAAGCAAAGCCGGAGCGAGTTCCGGTGGGACGGGAGTTGCCCTTCCAGGCAGGAGCCACTTGTGCTGTGTGCGAGACTCCCCGCTGGGATTCGGTGGACTTAAACTCCTATCTTGTCTCTTCCAGAGTCTCTCTGCTGGAATTGAGCCCCTGACTCTGTTGTGGGGTCCTTCTGGGGAAGCTGCCTGTTGCCTTGGGACAGAGCGGGCTCGGGGAGCAGCCCCCCCCCCCGGCCCTGAGCACACACGTTGGAGGCTGGCCTGTCCTTCCTTTGCCGCCTGCCGTTTTCTCCCCCTCTCCCCACCCCCCTGTCATCGTCCTCCTTGGCGGCTGGAAAGGGGAGCAGGACGTCGTGAGGGGCAGCCCTCGAGGTGAGTGTCCCTCCCTCCCTCTCTCCCTCCCGGGGGCTAGCAGGGCCGGGCATCTTCTCTAAAATCTGCGGCCCTCTCTGGTGGCTCCCTTCTTCCCATTTGATTCCTGGGGAACTGGCTTTGGAGGGAGGAATTCTGCCAGCAAGGCCCCCTCGTGAGCGTGCCCCAGAGTGCGCACTTTCTGGACAGGGCCGTGTGGCAGGGCAGTGGGCAGAGCTTTTTTTGCTGAAAGGACCGGGCAGGGGGTGATGGGAAAGAAAGACCTCTTTGCCTGAGACCCTGGAGAGCCACTGCCAGTCAGAGTAGGCGGTGCTCACTTTGGTGGATGGGGGGGGGGAGGTTGACGCAGTAGAAGGCCCCTTCCTGTGGTCCTGATGGGGGATGAAGGGCAGAGCGGCTGACAAACTCCTTTCCCTTCCCCTCCCCACAACAGACATCCTGTGAGGTAGGCGGGGCTGAGAGCTCTTTTTCAAGGACAGCTCTTGTCAGAACTACGGCTTGCCCAAGGTCATCCAGCGGCTGCGAGTGGAGGAGTGGGGAATCAAACCCGGTTCTCCCAGATTAGAGTCTGCGCACTTCACCACTGCACCAGGCTGGCTGTCAAGAAGAAGAGCCGCCTCCTAGAAGGCTTCTGGCCAGTCACCTGGCGGTTGCCACTTCCCAGGAGCCCTTTCGTCCCTCTCCCCTCCCACCGAAGGCAGGCGTTACGCCTGTAGCGTGGGTGTGTCACCTTCCATTGTCTCCTTGCAGGTTCCCTCCTGTCGGCAGTGGCCCCCAACTGGGAAGAGGGATCCTGGGTGCAGATTCTTTAGGACACAAAAGAGGTGGGCAGCAGGTCTGGAAAACAGCCTTTGCTCCTAGACCCTCAGGCCTTTTGTCTCTTTGGCCTGGCCCTACCCACCCTTCTGGCTCCCGAGGCCGGGTGGCCGTGCGTCCTCAGGGGCTCTGGTTTCCTCCTTCCTCCTTTTTGCCAAGGGGCTTTGGTTTGGTTGACCGTGGCTTGCTGTGGCTGGGTCTGAATCTCCTCCTCCTCCTCCTCCTCCAAGGTCATTGCAGAAGAGAAGCGGAAAAGAGAAGGCGGTGACCCGTGAGAGCGCCAGGCGCCCAGGAGGAGCAGGATGGCAGCCGAGACACTGAATTTTGGGCCGGAGTGGTGCGTGTGGGCGTCCGTCTGTCAGGCCCTGGGCAGTTGTGGGAAGGGGGCTTGGTCTGAGGGCTTCAGGCAACCCGCGGCAGGGTGGGAGGTGGACTTCTGCCGCCTGAATAGACAGACGAGGTCTCCTTGTTGAACTGGACCCTTGGTCCTTTGGGGAGGGTCTTTGCAGAGCAGTCTCTCTGATTGGTTAACTGTTCTCCCCTTGGCTTCTGGGACTTCACTGGCCATTGCCGCTATCAGCCTGAAGCGTTGGGGCTCGGAACCCGGTGGCGGAGCCTGCTGGATCGGGCCAGTGGATCAGTTAGTCCATCCTGTTTCAGCCAGCTGCTCTGGAGAGCTAAGCGGACGGCACAGAGGCCGAGGCCTTCCCTGGTGTTGCCTCCTAGGACTGGGTTTTGGAGGCTCCCTTTAGTCACCACGGCTAGCAGCTGTTGATGGACTGCTCCCTGGACTTGTCCAGTCCCCTTATAAGGCCATCTGGGCTCATGATCTTGGCTGCCTTCTCCAGCCAATGAATTCCTCATTTCAGTCACTTGCAGAGTAAAGAGGGCTTCCATTTGTGTGCCCATCAACTTCATCGGGTGCCCCTGAGTTTCTGTGTTGTGGGAGAGGGAAGGAAAGGCTCCGTGTGCTTGCTTTACTGCATATGCATTGTCTTATAAACTTGCAAGAACACTGGAAGAGCCCTGCAGGATCAGAGCAGTGAGGGTCCATCCAGTCCAGCCTCCTGTCTCACCCAGTGACCAGCTGGTTCCTCTGGCGGGCCAACAGCAGGCCGTAGAGGCCGAGGCCTTCCCCTGAGGTTGCCTCCTGGCACCGGTGTCCAGCGGTTTACTGCCCCTGAATGCCAGAGTTCCCTTTGGCCACCATGGCCAGTAGCCAACGACAGACCTCTCCTCCCTCGTTCTGCCTGATCCCCCTCCTTGGTCTGACCCAGCAGGGCTCGCCTGGTGTTCTCAGGGCTGAGAGGCAGCCCAGGCCTGGGGCTGGTGTGTGGGCTGCCACCTGCCACAGAAGAGTCTTTTCCTCCTGTCGGCTGTGGACTGGGGGGGCCAAGGCTCCCGTGGCAGCCCCAGTGTTCTGATCCACGTCCCCCTTCCCTAGGCTTCGTGCGCTCTCTGGTGGTGGGAGCGTCACTTCACCGCCACCTTCACCTGCCATGCCAAAGTACAAACTAGCCGAGTACCGATACGGGCGGGAAGAGATGTTAGCACTTTACGTCAAGGACAACAAGGCAAGTGCTGCGCGGCTGCCTGCCCGGGGTGCGCTCAGCCCCACAAGGAGACGCACGGGTCTGGCATTGGGAGCCCCACCCCTCCCGCACTTGCCACGACTTGTTCCCAAAAGGGATTTACCTCAACCGGGAGTCCCCGGATTGCACTGTGAGGGCAGGGCGGAAGGGAAGAGAAGCCCCCCCGGGACACTTTGCCTGCCTTCTTGTTTGAGACCTCCTACACACACACACACACACACACACACCCCGATTTGGACACACGTAAGGGGTCAGGTTTGAGATTGTTGGGAGATGAGGGAGTCCTCCTGTCTCCAGGCCACTGACTGCCCCTTTCTCGCTCCACTCGGGCAGGTCCCAGAGGAGATCCAAGACAAAGAGTTCTCTGCCGTTCTCCAGGATGAGCCTCTACAGCCGCTGGCGTTGGTACCGCTGACGGAGGAGGAGCAGGTGGGCGTGGGCGTGGCTTGCCTGGGGGGGGGGCTGTGAGGTGCAGTCTGCGGGGGCTTCTCCCCGCTTTATCCGGCTTCTCTTTTCCTGCCTTTCCAGAGGAATTTCTCCATGTCTGTGAACAGTGTTGCAGTGCTGCGGCTGATGGGAAAGGGGGGCGGGGCGACCCCAGCCGGTGCCTCCCGCGGGAGAGGCAGCGCACGGAGCCGAGGTACGGAGACATGGTGGGGCTGTTTGCCCCCCGGGGCAGCCCGTGCCCCTTCTCCCCCGCACTTCGCATCTGGGGCAGCGTGTAGCTTTTTGCGTAGTGACATCTCCGCTACTCCGCAGGCCGAGGCCGGGGCGAGAGCAGCTTTTACCAAAGAAGCATTGAGGAGGCGGAAGGAGCGTTTGGCCGTGGCAGTGGCCGGGAGATCCACCGCAGCCAGAGTTGGGACGACCGGTGAGTGTGGGAGGTGGTCGCTGCAGGGGAGGGCCTCTGGGGGGGGGGGGGGGGGGCCACCGCATGTCTCTGCCCTGAACCCCCCCCCCCGTTTTCTTCCCTTCTGCAGAGGAGAGCGGCGGTTTGAGAAGCCCATCCGCCGGGAAGGAGGTACTTGACAAGCGGCAGCCTTCCTCTTGGGGGGGGAGTCTAATGGTCCTTCCCCTCTGACTGCTCGTTCTCAGCTCGGGCCCCGTTTGAAGACGCGGCCCCCCCAGGCCGCAAAGACTTTGCCCGCTCGGACAGTGACAACTGGCGCACGCTGCGGGAGGAGCACGAGGGCGAAGAGGAGAGTGCCGCGGCTGCCCCGGGCTCAGGGGGCAGCTGGCGGCAGAGCGGAGCAGCCCGGCGGGAGAGTGAGCGCTGGCGGTCAGCCAGCCCAGGTGGGAAGAGCCCCCTGGCGTGCGGGACTGGGCCCGCCCTCCCTGGGGGAGGGAGCAGCTCCCCTGTTTCGCAAGGGTCAGGCGGGGCTGTGGTGGCTCCCCCCCCCCGCTTTGCAGATGGGGGGCCTCGGTCGGCCGGGTGGCGAGAGCCTGGTGGAGAAGGGCGCCGGCGGAAGTTTGACTTCGACTTTCGGGAGCGTG